AGCGCCCTATCCGAGTCCAATAAGCGCGCGCTTGTGTTAAAAGAGAAAATTGCAGTCCTATACATACACAACCAACAAGCAAATATAAACATTTTTTGAGCCCGTATCGTTTGCCATAGGCGGTGTGTGCATGTCCGCAACATCAACGAAACGCCGAATACTAAATTCAACAGGGGTAATTTTGACGGTGCTTCATATGGTTTTCTGGGTGCAGGGAAGCCAACCAACCATTCCCAAAAGACGCATGCTGATGCACAAGGCAACCACACGGAAGCCAACCAGAGCCGTGTTCCCTTCGCTCTCGGTGCCCTTGCGCCTTGGTTTCGGGTATGGCCGGGAGGCCGAAACCCTGTGCAGCAGGGCACACGGGTGACGCCTCCGATCTCGATCGACGGCACGCTGAACTTCGGTCATGGTGATGCGTATCGTCATTCAAGGGGTGGGTTCCAGGCAAATCGAATTCAAATAATGGACGGACAATCAAAACGTTCCCTCTGTCCTGTTCACAACACGAAATGGATATGGCGGCCCCATCCGTGGGCTCGTGACTCACTGCTTCGAAGCCACATCTGCCAGCGGGCTGGTAGCTGTTTGCCTCGGGCTTGCTTTTTTGGTTACGAAGCCACTTGCTCGCCATGGAGATCCGGACAATGCTGAAATGAAAAATGTCTCCAAATAGGGAACTCCCTCAAGTAGGGGGTGTCCTTCTGGCGCTTCCTCAGAACAGCCACAAAGCAACCCTCAACAAAGATACACCCAAACCTTTCCCAGCTCAAAGTAGAGAGCCCCAACGTCTAAGAACGAGCTTCATTCAGCCAACCCAGCGAAGTGGCTGCTTCTCTACTTTATTTGTTGTTTCAAAGTTCCTGAGACGTTTGACATAGTTTCCAAACATAGGCCTTTCGCGCTTGTTGGAACTCCTGAGGACGGAATCCGCACTGGCCTGAGATGGCCTGCTCAATCAACCCACGGGGCATCCATTGGTATTGAGAATCCATCAGCTTTTCATGATATTGAGAATTGTCAGATATTCAGAATGCGTTCGTTGATGCTGAGAATCCATCTATTGATTGCATCCATTCTCTCCATTCTCCAAGTCTGGAGCATCCAAGGATGGACCCTACCACTGGCTTTGCCAACCGTTGGACACCAAAACTTGCAAGACTGTTACAAGGCCTTTTGTGACAACGGGGGTGTCCATCTACTTGTTCAAATAAAATCCTTAGCTGGTTCGCAACATCGCGAACCATCCCCCCGGAGGAAGTTGGTAAACGGCCTTCCGCGAAGCCGGAGAGCAGTGAAGTACTCCATATCCATCCAGTTTCGTATGATAGTGGTTTGGGGCCTTAACATTGCCTAGCTTCTGTTGAGCTGGGAAGGGGCCCAAAACTGACTTCGGTAAATGTCATGTTTTTGGAAAACCATGAACCCAGGCTCATGGCCTTTCAATACCACCCCTCGGACGCCAACCTTGGCCATCTTCTGCCCAGGCTCAGTGCTTCGTAGAGCACCACGATGGGCGCAGTTTGCAGCACAGGCAGCTGCTTGGTAGGCAGACCTGCCTCAGAATGCGACTGACTCTGAGCGGACCAAAAAGCCTTAAACGTTGTCTCAGTTCTTCAGTGACCCTGGAGAAAAAGGGAACCATGTTTAGTGGGGCTGCCACCCCCCCCCAAAAAAGAAAAAGAAAAAAGGGAACAAGGGTGCCACTGAACAACTGAGTTGTTGGGATGGCGAGGCGAAACACATCTGGGAAGCCGATCGGTTGCTGAAAAGCGGTCATGGCGCATACCCTTTGCAACTTTCATGTTCCCCATGGGGCCCTGGTTGCCCTTCGCGCCAAGGAAAAAAGAAGTGAAGGCCCGCAAGAAGCGAAAGTGGCATGGCCAATCTTTGGGGGCCAATGAGACTTGTCAGGAGGAACCCCTTGAGCAGTGTGGGGATTTCACATTTGCATGGGCGCCTTTTCGGGTGAGTGCCTTGGACATGTATTTTTGCCGGTGAAGTAGCAAACTACGGTGCACATCTTGTATCGATAGCTCGCATGGCACCTTCAGCTCAGCTGGCATCCCAGCGTTCTTGAGGGCGACCAGACCGGCTCTGACAAATCTGCCCTTTCCAAGCCACAAAGCCTCGAAAACAAAATGAATTCGGAGGGGGCAAGCGATTGGCCGCCATCCGAACAGCACCTTCCCGCGATTGAGGCTGAGGGTCGGGGGATGCGGACTCAATGAACCCAAGTGGCAGAGTAGTTGGTCGCCGGCCCCGGCGAAAACGTGTAGTCACGACTCCCGCGGCTAGGCTCAGCCCTCTGCTGCGCCGGGCTGCAAATTTGAAGGATCCTGGGAGTGCAGCTGTGGGATTAATAGACATCGGAATTGGGATCATGCCAAGGCACCTGTCAACGTTCATGAAAATCTCTCCGGGCAAAATGCCAAAGGCATACTTGACCTACCAAGCACTTGGCCTGTGGTGCTCTTGAAGGCTTTAGGCATAGTAACAACTCACTCCGTTAAAGATCTTTTGCAACACGCAAGCTGTAACAGCTGAGCGCAGAAACCCTGGTGCTTCTTCTGAGCACAAAGCCATTGTAACAGGCAAATCAGAGCACATTTCAATGAGAGAGAGAGAGAGAAGGAGTGCTTTCTTTCGATGACGACTTTTGTTGCTACTGCGCCTTCTGCTGCTACAATAAGCCTAGTAGTTGGTAGCGCCTTTCGGCGGAGGGTTCTCTCGGTGACATTCATCCGCTGGCAGTGGGGAGAAAAATCGTAGGTAGGTCGCGGCACGCTTTCTGGGAACCAAGGAACCATCAAGAAACCTCATTTGGGATTGTTTCGGCAAACAGTTTGCACACGACTCGCCCAGACTCCATGTTGTAATACTCTCTGCGTTTCGTGGAGGAGTGACATTTCCGAATATCAGGGTGCCATCCGCATACAACATGTCTGTATATTCTATGCCACTAGTAGTTATCTTCGCTTGTTTCTTTTTTGTTTTTAATAAACATAAATATCTCTGAACATATCGAACTTGAGCAGAACAAAAGATAGGGGGAAAGCAGGCCCTGTCTTATGCCTGAATGCTGGGTCACACGTTCGGATTGCCTGCCTTCGGCAGAAGCTCGAAACAACTTGTGTAAATGTGCTGTAGGCATCTGAGCATTCCTTCAGGTACTCGGTACCCTAAGGAGCCTTAGGACTCTAGCTCACTTTATCAAAGGCCATCCTCCAATAACGTGATGATGAGGTTGGTTCCTGCGCGCTCTGTCCAGAAGCCGCCGCGCCACATAAATCGATTGAGCTATTGATTTATTAGGTCTGAACCCATGCTGGCTCTCGTTTCAACCGTCCTATTTCTGATCAGATGCAAGAATCTTGCAACATGCTTGGAGGAGCGCAATGGGCCTATAGTTTTGCATGCTGTAGCCTCTCTCTCCTTTTTGCAGATGGATGTTTACAAGCTTCAAGCTTGTGGGTAGGAGTCCTGCTCTAATGTCACTGGGTATCCCCAGAATCATCTTCCTGCTTTCATCGTTCATTCACCTGATTAGCTGCGCTGCAAACTTGTTCCTGAATTCCTGCAAGCAAGTGCCAAGAGCAGAGGATTGAAGGTGTGGAGGTTATATGATCTACCCTTTCTGATTTCCTCCAAGCCTCTGTCTCGGATTCCGGGCCGTAACCAGGGGACCCCCCCTAGTCCGGGTTTAACCTTAGCCCCAAGTAGGGCCTTCTGGCCCACCCCGGAGAACAAAAAAAACGAGGAAACCGCTGGCCAGGCTGCGAGGGTAGAGGGAAACATGCAGAGCTCTGCATCAAGAGCCAATTTCTTGCTGCCCGGCTGGCTGCGGGTGAGCCCTATTGAGCCGAAAAGCTTCGCGGAGTCCTGCTTCACTCTTGCGACCCCATCCTTCCACCAGTTTTGACCACCGGCCCAGTTGCGCTGAAAGGCAGAATCAGGTGAATGTCTGACATCGGCCATTTTGAGACCCTCCCCATACTCCCCACCTCGGCGTTGCTCTGGGATCGTCGGCGTGAGCTGGCCTCAATGAATTTCCACTTGGCACCAGTTGGTAGGTGAGGTGGGGCTTCATCCATGCTGCACATCCGCAGCATAGGCCATAGATGGAAACAAGAGGAGCAGTGGAAGAGACCCAAAAAGGTTATCTGGGTCACGAACATGGCCTACATTGGGCGCGACTTCTGAGCTTCCTGCTGAGCTGGACTGCTCGCGCAGCCGCAGTGTGGCGCCTGGGAAGTGCCAAGCCAGCTGAACTGGGTAAAGGTTGGGAAAAATCACAAGCATGTTAATCCACTTGCGGTCCCTTTTGGTGTAATACAAGTCATATCGGCTATTCAGTTGGCGCGTTCGTGATCTTGGGGCCGCTCTAGCTTTTCAACCTTGCAAAAGCTGCGGGATGTGCAACAATCAGCAAACACACTGAACAACAGACCTCATACAAGGTGGGCCTAAATAGCGGAGTACAAGGTAAGTCTTAAGAAGATGCTTGGTTGTCAACCCTAGAGAAAGATCAAAGATTAATCTGAGCTGCGGCTCCACGCAACGCGCATCACGCCCGGTCCTTGAGGCACCTGGCGCCGGAGGTTTACATGCCAGCGGCACAGCTGCTTGCGGGACCTCGTGTTTGGCAACTCGAGGCTAGAGCAGACGGAAGAGCGGGAAGGGCCGAGAGAAGAGTGGAGAAAAACGCGGAGCGAAGACTGGGCAGAGGAGCCAAGCCAATGGTGGGGACAAGAGCGGAGAGAAGAGTGGGGGGGTGAGGGCGGGAGGGGTTGGAGGGGAGTTTGGTGAAATTCGGAGGTGCCTGTAAAGAAAAAGCAACTTTCCGAAACCAAATTTCTTGGACTGCAGCACCGCAAGCAACAAATTGTGCATCGCAGCATTGTGGCAATCACTGGCCCCCTGCCCTAAAGCAAGAGAGTCATAATTGCCAAAACAGGAAGCGGCTGGCTCTTGGCTCAGGAAAAGGGCGGTCTTTTCCTCCTTGCGATCAGCGGCAGCGACAGTGATTAATATAATTCAAAGGTACCACCCCACTTTTGGAGGTTCCCCAGCCCGAACCACCCTGCAGGTCATCCAGACGACTCAAAGGACCATGCCAAGTCTTGCGCTGACGTGCTGAAGTCGGAAATTATCACTACGCGGAAGCGCTCACCAATCCAGTCAGAAGGCAAGTCCTGCGCGTTCCTCACGTGCCAAGACCCAAAAAACCCGCTGGAAGTCATGAGGGTAAGCCAGTCAACGTGAGATTCGGAAACTGGAACGCCAAAAATGGTTTGAGACACGGTCTCTGTCCAGTTCAGCCCCTCCTGTTTATATATATATATATACACATATTTGCACATGGTGGGGGTGCACGAAGTTTTAAAGTACTGCAGCGACATGTGGGGCATTGGATAAACAAGTGCGCAAATGCCATGTTGCCTCGCTGCCCTTGTTTTTTCAGCTTGCAAATGCCCAATAGATACACCCATGTTGGCACGTATGAAGGGGGCTAGATTCAACAGCCTAGCCATCTTTTGGCCATTCCTAAACCTGGACATGGACTTGGCCCGAAGAAACGAAACATCGACGCACCAAGGTTCGTGACACCACTGCTGTCCACCACGCTGGACGTCATGCGAATGAATCGGTTGTGAAGGGTGTTGTGCAGGGCGATGTATTCGCCCCCCGCCGGCACCACTGCAAAGCGCTCCCAAGTCCACACATCCGGCGCGGGAAGATCTGCAGCAGCCTTCTCACTGCTCGCCTCCCGGCCAGGTTCAGCCCCCCTTACATAAATCCCCCATTTTACCAAAGGAACGGATGAAAGGGCTCCTTTTATGGATGCAGATATCTACGAACCTCTCCTCCATGTTTTCAGCGCTCATTTTGATGAAGCGGTTGTGCAGGGCGTTGTGAAGAGCGACTTGCCCGTTTTGACCATCCACCACCGTGAATCGCTCCCAAGTCCAGCCGTCAGGAAACTCATTCCAGTTGCACTCAGAGCTGAAGTCCATGTCAGCGTTGTCGTTCCTACGTTGGTCTTTGACTTTGACCCCTTGCAAACCATGTTGGCGCCGGCCAGGGGAAGTAAGAACTTCTGTGCTCCGTGGCGCAACAAATGGAAAGCAAGATCTGTGGGACAAATGACAAGAGAAGAAGCAAGCAGGCACACAATTGCCCACGCGTGTGGCGGGCGCATTGAAAAATCAAGAGAGTATTGGTGGTGCCTCTTGCCGAGGATTGTTTTATCCCAACTGTTGTTTTTACACCACTGTCTTGGTCTAGGGTTGCTTTAGGGTGGCTTTGGGCTTGGCCTTGGCTTGAAATTGGAGGTGCTTCAGGGTGGCTTGGGGCTTGGTTTAGGGTTGTCGGCTTAGGGTTGGTTTGCTTGCTTGCTTGCTTGGCGGGTTTAGGGTTGCATTCTTGCTTGCTTGCTTGCTTGCTGGAATGCAGTGGGGAAGCATTCCCCCTTGGGGGGGGATATCGGTGCTCGGAACGCCCGAAGGTTATTTTCCTCATCTTGACGCCTGGCCGGAGCTTTTTGGGTTTGCGTTTCCATAAACTTTGTTGGCATCTGCGAAACCAATAAGCTCTTCCAATTTTGTGCTCAACTATGAGGATCATGGGCGGCGCTGTGCAAGGCTGCGTCAGGAGTCTTAGAGTAGGCAGAAGCATGCCAAAGCAAACAGCAAGCAAGGAAGCTAAATAACAGAGGGGCGCGCAGCTGCTTCCCCAGTGATGTTGGCAAGCTTGGGGCACGTCGCTCGCTGCACTCGGTTCACTTGGCATCCTGAAAGTTTGGCTGGGCTGCTGCCACCCGCCTTCGCCAGGCAATGGCAAAGTGGAAAGGAAGCAGTATGAGGACACGCAAGCGGAAGTCCCTTGGCTGAGCGCCTTCTTCTAGGGCAGTTTGCAAATGGAATTTCTGCACCTGGGCGGCGCCGCAGGCGTGCTGTGGTTAGGGTTTGTTCGTTGGCGCGGCTTCGCTTTTCGGCCTTGGGCTTGTGGCAGCCCAGGGCCTTCCATTCAAGGCATTGCCTTGCCTGCAGCCAAATCTAGAAACTGAGCTGGCTTGGGCAATTTTGGCAGGCAGTCTGCCAAGTCCATGCACGGCTGATGCGTGGACTTGGCATGCAACTGAAGCCGATAGCTGTGTTTTGCCACATGAAAAATCCGGAGAAGGGTTTTCAAAGCGTGCTCAACAATTCACTGAGCAATCAAAGGAATGATTCCAAACCTCTCATCAGCATGAGGAGCCTGCTTCTGCAAATGTCCCTGCAGCCCCAAAGCATTTTCTTAGAAAAAAACAAAGAACACCATTTTTGTCATTCACTTCATGCTCTTCAGCAGGCACCTGAGGACCACAATGGCCAGAAGCGGCCCCCAGGCACGGTTGGCGCACTTTCGCAAGGTCACGTGCGGATTTCGCACGAGCCGCTTCACTTTCGAAAGGTAGACTTGTGAAGAGAGATACCTATGTACATGAAATGAAAAAACATAGAGAGATAGACTGCCAGGCAGGCAGGGAATGAAAGAAAGAGAAGAAGCAAGAACGAAGGAAAAATTGTAAAGAAGGAAAGAAAGAAGGAAAGAAAGAGGAGAGAGAAAGAGGAGAGAAACAAGGAAAGCAAGAAAGAAAGAAAGACAGACAGATAGCAAGAGAGAGAGAGAGAGATAGAGAGCGAGAAAGCAAGAAGGACTGACAAACACAAACAAAAAGAAAGGAAGAAAGGAAGAAAGGAAACAGGGAAAAAGAAAGAAAGAAGAAAAACAAGAAAGAAAGGAAGAAAGGAAGGACGGAAGAAAGGGAGGGAGGGAGGGAAGGGAGGGACGAAGGAGAGCGAAAGACAGCAAAATAAATAAATTTCCGGTTCTCATCAGCAGTGGGCCTTTTTACAGTGTTGAGGGGGGCCTGTTCTTGGGGACCCTAGACTCCAACAGCTTGGCGCGGTTGAGGTAGGCCTGAAGAATATTCGAGGAACCGCAACGCTGTGACCACCGCGGCCATGGCATCAAAACGCCCGGCCGGCCATTCAGCGGCACGCAGCGGTGGTCCAGTTGCCAAGGGTGGCCAGGGTGGCGAAGGCCTTTCTGCGCTGGAGTCAAGAGCGACTGCCCTTTCAGCTTGGCACCCCCTGCTCCGCTTTGGCGAGTCACCGCTGAAAAGGAGGCCGCTGAATGTAATTAAGGCAGATGACCCCAAAGACCATGAAAAAGGCCGCCATCATAGCAGAGGCGTCATCAAGGAGGCAGGCTATCCACCACCCTACAGCATGCCAAGTTGGAGGATTGGAGCTGGACTAGCGTTCACGCTGAGGCGCTTGGTCAGTGCCAGGCGCCTGGACGCAAGATTGCGTGCCATCTGGCCACCAGGTCGCCGGATCGAACGTACGAAAGAACGCTGCCAGATGATGCGCAGTCAGTGCGTTTGGGTTGAGTTTGTGGGACGCGGCAGGGTTGAGTTTGTGGGACGCGGCAAGCCCACGGAGCTCTTGCCAAGCGGTCGCAGCACGTTGGAGAGTAGCGGATGCGCTCCGTTGACAACCCGGCGCACAAACCCCGGGTTCTTCGACTCCTCACGTGGGCCCTGCCCAGGCGAGGATCCCGGCCTGCTGGCAGAAAGTGCGCACAAGTTGAGCTTCTGCCTCCCTCACCACGGCCGTGTCTCAGCGGGCTGCGACGTGGAAGAAAACCAATGACAAGCAGCCATTTTCATTCTTAAGCCAAAATTTGCAGTTCGTGGAATGGGAACCAAATAATGTTTCATGACCAATCCTGCCAGACTTGAATGAACTGCTGGAAAAAAGCAAGCAAGAAAGAAAGAAAGAAAGAAAGAAAGAAAGAAAGAAAGAAAGAAAGAAAGAAAGAGGAGAAAGAAAGAAAGAAAGAAAGAACGAATGAAAGAAATATTGAAATAAGGAAAGAAAGAAAGAAAAAAAAGACAGACTAACAGAAAGAAAGAAATATTGAAATAAGGAAAGAACGAAAGAAAGAAAGACATATTGAAATAAAGAAAGAAGTAGTAAAAGCAAGGAAGAAAGAAAGAAAGAAAGAAAGAGAGAAAGAAAGAAAGACAGAAATAATGAAAGCAAAAGACAAAGAGAGAAAGGGAGAAAGAGAGAAAGAAAGAAAGAAAGAAAGAAAGACAGAAAGACAGAAAGAAGGACACAAGGAAGGACAGAAAATACAGAAAGAAAGAAAGAAAGAAAGAAAGAAAAGCAGAGAAAGAAAGAACAGAAATAACATAAATATAGGAAGAATGATCGGGGAAAAAGGAAAGACACGATGACAATGATAAAGAAGAGGAAGACGAAAGAGCAAAGACAGAAAAAGGAAAGACAGACAGACAGACAGAAAGACAAAACAGAAGGAAGGAAGGAGTGAAGAAAGAAGGGAAGAAAGGAAGAAACACAAAAAACATAATGACAAAGAGGACGACGAGGAAGACAAAAGAGCAATGACAGAAAGAAAGACAGCAAGAAAGAAAGAAAACAATAACGAAAGAAAGCAAGAAAGAAAGACAGACAAAAAGAAAGAAAGCCAGAAAGAGAAAGAAAAGAAGAGAAAGAACAAAGACGCAAGAGGAACGACACAATAACAAAGAGAAAGAAGAGGGAGACAAAAGAACAAGGAAACAAAGAGTAACAAAGATAACTATATGTCCCTTTTTCGCCTTTTTAATATTTTGACACTTCCGCCCATCGGCTTCGCCGGCTCCACTGGCATTTCCAAAAGGGCTGGTCAAAGGTGAACTACTTCAGAGCAAAGAGCAAGCGACTAAAGCACAAGACTGTGGATGGACGAAACTTGGCACCACCTAAGGGTTTTCTGGAATGATGATCCCTTGGTAAAATAGCAAGAAACAATAGTTTCCCATGGTTTCAAAGTGCGGGTTTCGCAAGAATCCACAGGCCTAAAAAGCGACAAGGGTTTCCAAAATGCTGAAGAGCAAGCAAGGTTCATGCGCAGGAAACGGTTCTTGGCTGCATTGTGGAAGGCCACCACCGAGCCCGGCGGCAAGTAGGGCTTCACCTGGCGGGGAACACGGTTTTGGGTTCCCTGAGTTGAAAGGCGCGCCACATTGCTCTGGGTATCTCAACCAGCGGCCCTAGACAAGTCATGAAAAGCAGATCTCCACCTGGGTGTGTTTAATTGAAAACGGGCCGTTGGTTCCCAAGCCCCCACCTGCACCACCTGAAAACGCTCCCAGCTCCAGTCTTGTGGAAGCCCTGAAGCATCTTGTGCGCCGCTGCTATCGACCACACCCTCAGGTGACATGCGGATGTACTTGTTGAAGCGACCTTGGATAGGTTTCAGCTTCCTTCTGGTTTTGGATTGGTGGTTGGGGGGAGGAAAAATAGCTGAAAGGGGGAAGCTGGGACTGCCGCGCTGCCCCGCTAGGTTATTGAATTGATTACATCATTCATTTCTTCATAAAATGGATGAGGATTTAACCTAATGATTCTATTACCTACCCTTGTAATGTGCAACTTCAACACTTTCATAAAATCCCACACTGAATGATTGACAAGACACATAAGCATCATTGTTATGATAAAGTAAACGAATGAAACTTGCCAGCACCAATAGAAGACTAACACATTATCTCGAACATATTCTGTTGTTAATGTTTTGTCTAAACCTGTTGCAAACATTGTTCCTAATGACTTTTTCGACGGACATGTGTTAAACCTCGTCATATACCAAATCCACTTGCCCATTTCTCGCCAAGAATCCGGGTTCATTTTTTCATTAAATGCTTTGTGATGGTGCGTCATTTTCAATGTACAAAACTCAAAACTAATCAATGATACAGTCGGGAAATATATCATTCGCTTTTTTAACTTTGTTGCTGAATAATTTCGAATTATTTTGTCAATTCTTCTCTGATACACTTTTGCATTTTTCCCTTATTATGAGGTGTCTTCTCTTTAACTAGATGTATGTTTCTTTTTACGTTGGCTACTTTTTGTGTCAGCGCTTTCTGGGCTTCTGCTCCTACATCTTGTTTCACTTTGTCTTTTAGTCCATGCACTGCCTCTTGCTATTTCTTCGGGTGAGTTGCTCCTGCTTCTTCTTTCCATTTGTCTTCTGTTCCATTGAATACCTCTTGCTCCTGCTTCTTGCTTCTACCTGTCGTCTCGTCCAGAAAGATGCCCTCGGTTGTTCTTCTTGCTCTTCGGGTTGAATGGACGGTGGGGATGACTTCTTCTCTCTTTTGAATAATTCAAGCACACTCTTATCTTCTCCACCTGCAAAATTGCTTCTTAATGACTTGATTTCTCGGCTTTCCTCTTTCTTCTCTTCCCCTTTCTCGGTTGATGCTGATGTTGATTATGCTGATGTTAAATGAAGACTTTGTAAATCTTCCTGCTCTTCATCTGACAGTTCTAAATCATGATTTTTGTCATCTTCTGGTTCAACATCTGACTTTTTCTTTTCCTCATTCTTGACTGAAATGACATCACTGGATGTTTCATCATTAAACACTTTTGCTACATATCGTGTTGTTTGTGCGTCTGCCTCGTTGTGTTCATACAACTGTGATGTTTGAGCTACTTCATCAAACATATCAGGGAACAATTCATGACGAAGAACTTGTTTGTCAGCTTGAACTCTAGCATTAGGCTATAGTCTTCTATCATATTTTGAGAGGCCAAACGCACCAAAGTCTATATTATTAATTGATGCGTGTCTGTCTTTCGCGGATGAACTCAATTTCTATTCTGTGTGTTATCGCTTCTTTCAGCATTTCATCAAATGTAGGTCGTCGTCTTAATCCATAATATTTAGTAGTACTAATTATTTAAATTTTATAAACTAATTATGTTAATCTCGCGATTGGGAAGATGATGCTTCCTCCTTCACAAACTTGTTATACACATGTTCTTTGTAAAACTCCATTAGTTTTGTTTTATGTTGTCGCCTGTCTTCGCTTTCAGTTACAATTAACTCACCAGATAAGTTGTTCAGTTTGATGTATTTGTTCTGTATTTAACCAAATATTATACAGTTTATCAATAATTGTTTTCATGTCCATTGGATTCTTTGCTAAACACAACGGGGTATTTAACATGACTTCTCATAAAAAAAAAGTCTCAACATGAAAATATGTATCCTTACCTTGTTTAACTGCTGCTACTTCAACTACTGGGTCTTCTTCTCGCTCTTCTTCTTCCTCTTGTTCATTTTCTTTTGCTGACGCCATTGAATGAACTTCTACACCTTCGGGCATTGAACGAATCGAAAAACACTTGTCATTTCATCGTGTTGTTCTTTCCAAGGTCTCATTTGCGCTTCAAGTTCTTCGTTCTGTTTGTTTGCTTCTGTCAATCTTTCATCTAGAACACCTTGTTGTTGTTTAAATCTCTAACTTCAATTATTCCACCTGTTATATCCTTAGGTGCTTCTTCCTTAACTAGTTCTCTCCGGTTCAGTTCTGTTTTCTTTTGAATATCTAAAGCATCTTTATTGCCCCGCTGACGACGTATTGATTTCACCTGTTTCTTGTTGCTTTTCTGTCTGTTACATTTTCAATTGACGGGCGATTCTTATCTCCTACTATTGTTTCCTTTAGCAATTCATCATATGGTCTTAAGTGTAGCTGTGGTTTTTAATGAACCTATCGTAACTGGGTTGGTTGTATTCAATCTACATATTTATTCATAGTGTATTAACTATTTAGAAAACAAATTAATCTGAGATATTGTTAACATTTTTTCCAAAGGTTTCTTTCTTGATGTGAGTTGCTCCTTTGTTTGTAGTCCGTCTGGTGGGCGTGTGTTGTCTAATACGTTTCTTAGTTTGTCTAACTCCTTTCTACAACTTTCGGTTCTGTTGCTTTCAACTAGACCGTTTCTATACTGTATTAATGCTCCCTGTGATCGTCTTGCTTCCAGTGTGTCCTTAAACTGTCTAAAGTAGTTCATTCCTGAAGCAACACCCCATAAATCTGAAACATCACAACGGCATTGTACTTGTGGCGCCCTTTTAGATTCTACATTTCTACCACCTCTCATAAGCATAACTCTGATATATTATAACTAGGTTATCGTTTAAAACATTGATGAAGTTAATGTATTCGTTCATCTGATTTATCTTGTTTTGTTCTTTTGTCTCAGCTCTTCGTCATGTTGGATAAATAATTCTGTTGCTGTGGGTTTTCAATTGTTTCTTTAATCACTTCTTGTTTAATCCCATCTCTGAAATAACTTCTGGTTTAATTTCTATTATTCTTTTGTGGATTGACTGGTGGTAACTCAGTAGGTGCTCCCTTACAATTTTTAGGATGTGAAAAACGACGTGACTTAGCATTCATGGACGCACCACATTTTTCACATTGGACTACTTCAACTTCTTTGTTGGTTCTTGGTTTTGCTTTTGCTTTTGGTTTAGGTTCTTCTATCGTTTCTGTTCTTGGTTCACGTACAACTGTGTCATTCTGTTCAACAACTTCAGTATTCATGGGTGCTGCATCTGTTTCAATTTCATTATTGACATCTACTGCCTCAATACTTGTCATATATATATAATATATTCTCTCTATTTTCTATACAATTTCGACATTGAAAGTTTATACAAAGCATATCTATTGTTTGGACAGTTGATTTTCTAATCTTCGTTGTTCATTGGTTACATCTGTACTTGTTTCATAGCGTTCTTGTCTTTGCTGTTTGATTTCATCCTTGCTTTGTTTAATGTATTCATTTCTTTGCGTCCCTTAACATTATTCTTGTTCTGATTATAATTATCACTTCTCTTTTGCTGATTCTTTCGATATTCAACTCACGAAATGTTTGCTTTTTTCATGTCTTACATCTCTGCTTTCATCACAGTATTATTGCTTTGATCTTCCCTCTATCCGTGTATTGATACACTCATTTTCTCTGACACATTGTCCTGCTCCTGGTCTTAACTCTTATCTAGTATTACACGGGTAGTTTTCTGAAAGTTCAGTCTTACAGTTGTCTACATCAAACTCATCAAATAAGCCATAAATAGAAATGTAATTTTGTGCTTTTCAATCTTTGTATTTCCGTATGATGACCTATGTTGAACCATCCTTCTTAGTAAAGAAACTGCCGTGCTTCCTACATAACATTTTGTATATTCGTTGCCCCAATTTTTGTAAATTTTACCATTAGTATAGACATTATCCATTACGTATGTACATGTTTACCTTTTTATGTTGTTTTTCATACTTAGAAATTGCTACTTTTTTGAATGGGAGACTTAAACACTGACATGCGCCATGTCTAATAATTTCATTGCCTGCTGAATATTCAAACCAGAAGTCCAGTTGTTTAAAGCTTCTGTTAGATACATGCAAATTACCAGTCATTAAAGTGTCATTCTCAAAAATAACACCAGCGTGAGGAGCAGTTATAGGAACCTTTTTGATAATTGTGGTCTCGCAAGTGGAACAATTCACCTGATTATGATTAGACAATTGAAAGGAATGAAGACTACTGATCTGGCTGAGGATTGAGAAACTCAGAAACATAAGGATTATCATGTTGATATACTGCCATTTCGTAATTTCCTACTTCATTAACAGAACGTAAACCATTAGCATCAAAACTTCCATTCCAAATATAGTCAGCATATACTACTTTCATCTGTTCATCAGTTAATACAATGATTTGTCTATCAGCATCGTTCGAAGAAATTGCTATTTTATTCGTTTTTACATTGTAAATAACTTCATAAGCATTTGAGAAATTAGCATTATCAACAACACCGTTCATTCTTGTTTTTAGCTCTGTTGCCATTCATTAAAATTGAAAAAATGATATTAGTTGTGATACGCTGGATTGGGGTTACAAACAGTTTGATAAGAGCCACTTTCAATTTATCTGGGCACCACCGTGCACGAAATACAGCATTGCAAAACAAGCAGGACTGAGGCACTGTTCTAACAACTATTGAAATCATCAGATATTTCAACCCTAAATATTATGTAATTGAAAATCCACAAACTGGACTACTGAAGACGCAATCGTTTATGAATGAATTCAAATTTGATGACATGGATTAAAAAGGCAAAGGTGAATACACCTCAAGAAGGAAACACCATTGAAATGGACGCCTACCATTTACCCAAAAAAAGGTTGAATAAACATTATGAAATTGAAGGGTTAGCTAAAAGTTCAACCGCCACGAATTGCTACTTGTAAAGCAATAACTTATTGACAAATTAGTTTGAATTTTGTTAATAAACTTTTTCACGACATCTTTCCCATCAGTATTTTATACATAATGGTATCCACTGCCTTTTGGTATGCCCTTTCTTTATGAAGTCTTTTACATTTATCACTCCCTACATGCTTTGGCATATTAGTCTTTTTCATGCTACATCACTGAATCACACCTTTCACAGTTAATAGGTTCTTCATATTTTTGTAGTATGAATTGAAACAACAGCTGTCTTTATTCTTCTGGTGAAGTTTGTCATTGTAAGGCTCTTTGCATTTCTTTAACTTTCTTTTCTTCATCTGTACCTGTTGTAAAATCTGATTCACCTTCTATTGAACTCCACAAAGCATCAAATTCACCATTAGACATTTGTGCTTGTTTCCTTTTCTCACCAACAAAATAATAACTCATGGCCTTCTTTATGTAAAAGGTATTTCCGCTTTAAGTAGTTTCACAAACTCCATCATAACCACCGTGCAGTGAGTTTATGTTGTCTATATACAACCGCTTATTTTCATATGAAGATAAGGGTTTTTTAGCTTGACTTCTACTGCATATTTGTCATTTACTTCTGATAGAGTAGAACGTTATTGTGTCGCGTGTGTTTGCATTCAATGTTTCAATGTTTCAATGTTTCACAGTTATTGTAGTTCCGGTCTATTTTAACCTTCAGTTTAACTATTCCTTTACTTTTCTTTTCTTCTGAACTCCATTATGTATCTTAAAACAATATGATTTAGGTTTCAACCGTTATCACGTTTGCATCGGTTTCATCCTTGAATTAGTTGATGCACCAGAACGATACACAAAAATGCGTGAATAATCTAAATTTCAACTGTAGACATACCATTAATGAAAACCTAGTAGAGGTTGAAAAGTCAAAAAACTTAATGAGCATATGGACTTCAGCGGTTATGATGTTAAGCACAAATGTTGCAATAAGACAAACAAGAAAGTTTTAGGAAAACTCAAAACGAATGTGTTCTGCTACATGTTCCTTCGTCTTGCCATATACAGCGTTATTCATTAATTTGTACATCTCCTTCTCAAAGCCGCTCTTGGCATTCTGTCTTTTTTCAGTGTTGAAATCAACCCACGGCTTCAACCATTGTTTATGAGAAAACTCAATCACATCTTTTTAGTCTTCGTAATCTTCAGTCCTCGCTTAAAACTTCGAAATACCAATGTGCAAAACATAGTTAGTCTTTTCCAAACCATTTAATACTAATTTGTTAGTTGTTTCATCTTTTGCTTCTTTTTGTTATTGTGCGCATTGTATGTTTCCTTTTGATACTCACTTAACCTGTCTGCCGTAATATTCATAGTCTCTGGTGCTAGTGGGTAGTCAATACGCTTGTTGTGGCATTCTTTAGGGTAATCTAAACCAACATCCAAAATACAACCTTTTGCTGTACTAATGCTGTCATAATACTGAATGTCATTCTCTCGCATTTCATCGGGTTTCCACCTGATAGTTTTATATAGTAGCTCCTTACACATAGCAAGACCATATTATGGCATCTCACGTCTGGATCTCCACGGCAAAGTCACACCTATTTTAAGTTTTATAATTTAATTACATTACACACCTACAAATTTGCATACATACGTTACATGACATAGATACATAAATACATACACACACATACACACACATTCATACATTCAGACATACATACATACATACATAGATACGTACGTACATACGTACGTACGTGTTACGTACATACATACATCAATCATACATACATACTTACACAGCTACATACTTACATAAATGACATAGATACAAAATGATGCATAGATACATACACACATACATACATACATACATACATACATACATACATACATACATACATACATTAGGTACATACATACATACATACATACATACATACATACATACATACATACATACATACATATGATATGTACATACCTACACATACTGACAGTCGTCTGGCATACATACACTACATACATTATAATAATATACCTACCACCGAACCAAGCGAACCCAAACCAACAAACAAACAAACAAACCAACAAACCAACAAACAAACAAACAAACAAACACACAAACAAACAAACAAACAAACAAACAACACATTGTTGAACTGTTGTCAGTTGTTTACAACAGGAAACAAACAATAATAATAACAAAAGATAGCAACACACGTCACACAACTGTTGCAACAAACAATACTTAATAATAATAACATCAAACAACTGTGCAACAAACGTCAATTGACAACAGCAACAACAGCAATCTGCAAGCACGAATTAATAAGGAACGAACAAGAACGAAAGCCAGACGTTGAAAACGACAAGTTGCCAACAAAGCCCGACAAAATCCGACAAAATCCGACAAAAACCGACAGAATCAGTCAAAAAAAGTCAAAAGCGCAAAACTGGCCCAAAATGACAGTCTTTGACAATCTGTTCCCCAAACAAATTTTGAGGACATAAAGGATATTAGCGTCTTCATACCTGAAGTAGGATGACGGTTTTGGTTCATCATAATATTTTCCCATATACTTATTATTAGCAACTGCTTTTCTACAAGACACCTGACACATTCCAGCTTTCAAACCACCCTCAACGAGATTGAACATGTCATCACCATAGATCAACTCAAGTTCAATGTCAGCTTTCAACAACATCGCATCCCAAGCAAAAACATGGTAATGTATAGTAATGTGCGGGGGCAAGCTCATAATCTTCCAAACATTTGTCTAAAGTTTTCATAAACATCAGTAAGTAATATTACATCAGTTTCCGTATGCAAAACATGATACTCACCAAGGTTGTATTGTTAAACTGTTTCCACACTATTTTAGCTCTGTCATAATCAGCATCTGTTATGCGTTCCTCGCTCAATCTGCTGTAAAAGTGTTCTTTTGCTGGTAGTTCAGTTTCATTGAACTTATTGAAGTCATTAGCAGAATCATATGGATAAACTCCCTTTTCAGTCCGTAGAAACAAATCGTTCACATCTTTAATGTATCTGCCGTTTTACTGTATTTGAATTTATCACTCCAATCATCCTTCAATTTGTTGTCCTCATATTTTGTTAATTTAACCAACTTTCTAATGATGAAGACAAGAAACTAAAACAGTCCTTACATTCAAGTCTGTTTAAAGCAAATGTAATAAGCTTTTCGCTGTTCCGTGCTAATACCGATATTTGTTCTTTTCTTCGCATTCAACTTTTCAAGGTTGCTAATAACTAAATGAGCGTCACATTTTTTAAGGTTATGGAAAATACAGGTATTTTGTATTTCTTCAATGACGATGTTGCATTTCGTATGCGCCGCTCCTCTGTGTAGTCCTGTAAAACGACCGTTTTCTTTGTGTTTATTGGTTTAGTTGCTAAAGTATTTTATTAAAATAGTGTGTTTGTTGGTCCACTTGTTTAGTAGATTTATACAACAACTTGGTCTTTGGATCTTCGTTATTCTGCCTGCTCTTTTGTATTGTTAGTGTCATCATCAATAACACAGACATTAACTGATATTGAGTTTCTACTAATTGTTTCAAATGTTTCAATGTCATCATTTGATGTTGGAAAATTCACAACGTCCCATTTGATTAAACTTTCCGCCGGTATGATTTTATTGTAATGACTAACTCGTAGTGGGTGGTCTTTCTTCAAGACCTCGAAACATTTACAAAGGACACCATATTTAAAACATAAAACAAATTTGTTTTGAGTGTTAACACCGCCATCAGATCCCTGCGCGCAAGAGTGCGTGACGCAGCCCTTGCAACGCGAGATCACGGGCGACCGCCCTTGCTGACACATGCAGAAGGTGTGCAGTGCGTTGGGGTGTTCCAATTGAGCCAGCCAACCCCCTGAGTCCACGATGCTTGTGAGAATGCAAATTTGAGATTTTGTGGGGTTGAAGCGAAGGAGGTTTAAAAATAATGTTGTACATCCTTTGGCCTAGTGGGGCAGTGCGGCAGCCCCAACTTCCCCCTCTCACCTATTTCTTTTTGGGGCGGGGTTTGGGGGTGGTTTCCCACTTATATACTCTCAGGGGATCAAACTTCAACTCCCAAACCACCAATCCAAAACACCAAATATCCATGGCGTCTACCTGCCTTGCAGTGGGCAAGTTGGCTATGAAACCTCGCTCTCTGTTCAAGATGGCTTGGGCACTAAGAACTCAGCGTGCGGCGTCCACGAAGAAGAGAGTGGACTTTTCAAAAGGTCAACTGGTACTTTTTTACATCTATTTACCACATCCGGAGCCGGCCAGCGCTAGACAACCTTAGCAGTGCCCCCAAGGCAACGCTGACAAGAACTCACATCTGCAAAATAAATGAAAACAACGCCAATCCCAGCAAAACCGGATTCAACGATATCATATTTCGGGCCTCTGCAACAAGATCTAGAACCAGCCTTCTGCCACGTCTGCTTATCACAAGCCAAAGAAAGTTTCATAAGCTGCCTCCCTACGACATGACACTCGTTGACTTTACAAAACGTGAGGCCTCCCATGAAGCGTAAAGGGAATGGCTTTGAATACATATATATATATATATGTATATATATACAGTATATACATTTATATGTGTACATTATCGTCTTGACGCATGCTCGGTGGGCTCGAACTGGTCAACTACGCTCGCTTCGAAACAAAGGGCGCCTTTTCTGACACACTTTAAGGTGGAAGACCTCGGTAGGCAAGGCGCTGTTGTGCAAGCCGATCTCTCCGTTGCCGGCGTACACTGGCGTGAAGCGCTCGTCAGTCCAACCATCTGGAAGCTGGCTTGCGGCGTTATGGCCGCTCGTGTCCATATTGGCATCACTCATCCTCACATATCGATTGTGGACAGAGCTGTGCAAAGCAATCTGGCCACTTCCAGCGTCCACCACCGTAAATCGTTCCCAACTCCAATCATAAGGAAGGGGATTCTTGGGATCGTCCCATGATGCTGAATCCATGTCAGCGCCATTCATGCGAAGGAATTTCTTGGCATCCTTGCGGTACAAGGCAATGGTGCTACCAGGGATGAGCTGCGGAGGAGGCACCTGCTTCACGACCTTCTCCACATCCCCTGAAGTGAAATCACGCAACGCCTGAAGTGCCTTTAGCTTGGTGTCCGTAGAGATAAAGGGTATGGCAGTCATCACGACGGAGAACTGATCCACGATGTTGATGAGTCGGATCCGCTTCTCTGGGGACTGAAATGGACCGAAGCCGATCGACATGGCCAGGTCCAAGTTGTTATCCTCCAAGAGCCCCTGGATTTGGAAATTCACCATCCCCGGATTTTTGAAGCTGAAGAGCTCGAAATAGTCCGACTTCGAAAGAAGGCTTAGGGTCTTCCTGTGCTCCTTGGCAGCCTCAGTGCCGTAAAGTTCCCTCGTCTTGGTGATGTTCAACTCCTTCCCATAGTCGGCCGACGCCAGGTAGAGATCCTCAACATCCTCCTCCCAGCGCGTCTCCACTTCCGGTGCCTTGGCTTTGCTCTGGTTCGCCTCCAGGAGAGATGACTTCCTTGACATGGGCTCCAGGGTGCGATCATCCTCACTGCTATGGATGCCGGTGGCGGTGCCGATGGGGTTCCGCCAGGTTTCATGTGCCATAAAGGTGTTGTCCGCCACAAAGTCGGTGCCGCTACCGAAGCGCTTGGTCAGGCGCAGGGTGCGGCTGAAGAGAAGAACCCCTCCTGACCTGATCTCCGTCCGAAGGACACTCAAATCCAAACCACCGGGCTGCTTGTCCGGCCAACAGACAATTGTGTCCTGAGTGGCGGCCAGCATCCCCAAACAGCCGATCCTTTCGGCCTTGAGGGCACGAGTCAGAGAAAAACTTGAAAAGAGTGCTGACTATGTGAGCGTCCAGGGAGGCCAAAGGCGCAGGCATCAAGTCAAATTCTAAGCCTCCCACAAAGGCGAGCACTGGCTGCATGGACAGCGAGTAGGTTACAGTCACACACTTCTCAATGGACATCTCCCACGTGTAGAAGGAGTAACCCTGCCACTTGTCCCAGTTGTCCTCATTGAAACTGACTCGAAAGGTAGAACAGAAAACTTTGTTCCCTAGAAGCAGAAAGTGACGCCTTTCAGACGCAGCGCGCGTTGGCAGTTGGGCCGTGCTTCTGGATAATGTGACTTATTGAGCATGGTTCTGGTTCGATGGTGCTGCGAAAAGCAGAGACTAGGATTTTGGTGTGATAAGGCGTTTACAGGGTGTTGCCGAAGGTTTGCTAAGCAATGTGATTGCAAGTTGCGCAGGTTTCTGTTGCAGGATGGATGCGAATTCAATGCTTTTTTTCGCACGTGTGCCTTGTCATGTCATGAAGTATATGGGCCTTAACTTAACTGTTGTCAAGCACCTGATTTCTTGACACCTGATTCTATAGTTTTATCTCTGCTGCCCGCTTGTGTGTGCTTCTGTGGGGGGGTTCACTGCAAGTGGGCAATTCACCACACAAGGCAAAAGGGTGCTGTCGAACGACTGAGTTCCGCGTCACGCACGATGAGTCAAACGCAAGAAAACCAAAAGGACAAGAGCCATGTCGAGCGATGAGGTACGGATTTCTGCGCGACCCCTTTCCCCGTCCTTCATCCAGGAATTGTCACAGGGCACCGCCCAAGGCTCAAGCTGGATGAAGTCATCGTCGTTCGCGACTTGCCAATCAGCCTTTGTGGCCTGGTTATTCTGCCCATTTTTGTTTTTGGGGGCGAAGGCCAGGCACGAGCTGGTGTCAACCTCCTTGCCGTTGAACTGCGTGATTAGCTTGGTGGCATAGTTGCCATCCTGGTCATGCACCGCAAAATTGATGGCTCCTGAAGGATCCTCATCACCCGAGCTGCGAGCACGGGCACGAGCGTCTGACTGAAGAGCCGACATGTCCCGGGGCTTGGATTTGGCTGTGCGTTTGGAATTCAAGTGCTGCGAGTGGGTCTTGATCATCAAATTCTTGCCAGAGTGGTGTATGACGGGTGGCGCGCCAGCTGCTGGGAACTTGGACACTGCAGCTTGTTGGACTAAGGACTGGCCATCTTCCAACACCTGCTTGACCACGGTCGAGGCCACTTTGGCAAAGATCTGAATGAATTCGGTGATCATGTCGCTCAGCTTGTTCAAGGTGTTCAAAGGAGGCACCAGCTCAATGATCTTCAGGCCAAAGCACTTGATCACCTCTACAGGCGAGCCAATGGTAGCGCAGTTCACAAGCTCAAGGCCCATACTGATCATGGCCTTGATGGGTGCGATGCCAAAGCCCACAACCGTTTTGAGAGGCTCTGGCCAATCTAGGCTGGTGGTGCCGAAGTTGAAATCGAAGAGGTTACAGGTCTGCCCCATGAGGCGGACCCAGCACTTCTGCCGCCCCCAGTCAACTCTGAGTCCATCTGAGTTCACACTCATGCTAGGCCAACGGCTGTCGTCGCAGCCCGCATTCCAATCCGTGAAGCCACGGATGAGTATGTCCACTGCCATCTCCACCGAGTCAATGACCGTGTTGGCAACAAATTCGACCTGGTCCGCTGCTGCACTGTAGGCATCCCCCAAAGCATCACCCACCATGCCTGTGCCATCTACGACTGTGCCCCCAACATCCTCAGCAACATCCACGACATCGTCGATGATCTTGGAAGTCACAGTTGAGTCCTAAGGTCCGAAACCGCAGCAAATCCTACCTGCCTGCCAGGAAGCCAAAAAAAGGAGGAAATAAAGCGCAGGCAACGCTTGGGAAACCCCGAGTCTGGCGAAGAATCCAGGGACTTCTCGGTTTTCTTCGCCTTCGCCTTCTTTTGCCGCTGGAGCAAGGCACTTTCTTGAGAGGCCTTTGCCACGTCTTGGGCCGGTTTGGGAGTCACAAACTCCCGCTTCTCCCGCTGGTGGTTGTGCTTGTGGAGAACTTTTTTCAAGGTCTCCGCAGCATTCCTTACTTGTATTGATCTGGCATTAAAAAGTAGGCCTTTTGAAGACATGGCGAAACCTTAGCCGCAACTAGAATTTCAAGAGGTAAAAGTTAAAAGATCAGGCTTTGAATAAGAAAGAGTCCGCTTTTTCTCCTCCTCTTTAGCTTGGACCTCAATGGCGGAAGTATTTGACGAGACGTTGTGCTCGTTCTGCATGTGCTTGTTCTTCCACTCGTTCAGGTTATGGATCTCCACCTGCTGCAGCTCAACGATGGTCTCCAACTGGGCCACCTCAGGGCGCTCTCTCCGATTGCCAACGAGTACCGGACAACCTGTCGAAAGGGAAAAGCTGCTCCAAAATGTGTGCAATGTTTCAACCACCATGATTTTCTGTCTTCTTTATTCCCCAAATAACTGAAAGCTATAGGGGTTCTAACTTCTAATAAAGAAGGGACAATTATTTGCGAGATTGACGGCTGGGTGCTGGGGGGCATGCAGTTTGGGGTGCTGGTGCAGGTTCTGTTGAGGCGCTGGCGCAAATACTATTAAAGTCGGTGCGGGGTGTGGGCGCATTTTTACAGCTGGGATGCTGGGGGCGTGCAGGTGCAGTTTTGGGGCATTGGTGGAGTTGGAAGTTCTGAATGGCTTGAGTCGCCTTTGCGGCCTAGGTCAAGGGTGCAATCTCCGACCGGTTCTACGCTTGCCGCTCTCTGGGGTCTACGCAGGTGCAATTAGAGTAGAGGCTTGCGTCTCAAGTTCACGCCTTGAGCATCAGAAACTCCAAGTTCGACCCGAGCGTCCCGAAGCCGTGCTTGCTCGAGTTCGTGGAGTTCTCCAAATCTGGGATGCTGGCTGCCTCCTGCAAGTCATGCGCTAAGTTCGACTTGATCTCCTCCGGGCCAAGAGCCGAAAACAAGAAGGTGAGTCTCGTGGAACGGCTGCGAGAAAACGCTGCCAACATGGCCGAACCTACGAACAATCTCAAAAGGCCAAGCGGCCGTGCATGGACAATAAACCCAACATCCTGCGCCAAGCTTGCATTGGTGCTGTTGCTCACATTTGCGACGCCCTCTGTGATGTCAAAGGGCGTGTCCACTGCGCCAGCTCGCACCTCCGCCTTCCTTGCCAGCAGCGAGGCCGACGTGGCGGGACAGGCGTCCCCTTCACCTGAGGCAACAAGAGGCGGCATTGTCGGCTCTCGACACATCGGAACCCGACAGGCCCAACAAAAACACTCAAGGTAGTCGCACAACTAAATTCTGAGATAGTTGCAGCTTTTGATTAATATATCCTCCCACAATGAAAGGTTTTTGCCGGGGTTCCAAAACAATTTCCGAATACTTCCAATACTAAAATTTAAATACGGCCAAAAGGCAAGTTAATTGCTGCTCACGACCCGTGACAGTTTAAGCACCAGAAAACCCCGTCAGAATTAAAGAAATTTGTTGCCAGGTCCGCAATTTGAAACTCACCAGGCAACCTTATTTAACAGGGTCCTTCCTGACCTCACGTCAGCCCAAGTCGCCTACCTACAAAAACAAACCTCCCCATTTGCTTCGCTTCGGGCACAATCCCCACCCTCCACACTCACGAGCTTACGACCGTGAGCACGGTTGTGTGAATTCAAGCATGGTTTTCGAGTGGCTTGGGGCCTATGACTGCACAACAAGCTTCCTTATCCACCTGTCTGTGTGTCAAACTCCACTTGTCTGCGAGCCGATCTCGAGTTCCAAACATCGGTTCCGTTAACAAAAGCCAAGCCCCTTCCAAAAAGAAACCCGGCGGGGGATTAAACAAAGTTGCTTATTCGAGCCTCAGGGTACACTCAAAACAGGAAGGCACCAACATGAAGTGTAAACCCAACTGTGCGCCGGGCGGGACATTAAGCAAAACCAGACTGGCGAGCTGCTCTGGCGGGATACTGGCGGGATCCACTGGCGAATGCTGGCGAGCCACTCCGGCTTGATGCTGGCCGGACACTCGGCAGGATCCATCGGCAAAGGATTCTCAGCAAAATACTCGGCGGGATCCACTGGCAGCTGCTCTGGTGGATACTCGGCGGGATCCACTGGCGAGGTACTCTGGCGGGATGCTCGGCGGGATCCACCGGCGAGCTACTCTGGGATACTCAGCCGGGATACTCGGCGGGATTCACTGGCGGGCTGTGGTGGGATACTCGCCGGGATCCACTGACGAGCCGCTCTGGTGGGATACTCGGCGGGATCCACTGGCGAGCCGCTCTGGCGGGATACTTGGCGGGATCCACTTTCGAGGAGCTCTGGCGGGATACTCGGCGGGATCCACTGGCGAGCTGCGTTGGCGGGATACTCGCCGGGATCCACTGACGAGCTGCTCTAGCGGGATACTGGGTGGGGGCGTGGTGTAGAAGCATCGCAATTGCGGATTCCAACATAAAATCTAACAACCCCTTCCTGTCGGGTGGAGAACAATGAAAAAACTTGTTCCCAACTCCAAAGCTCCAAGCCCAAAATCCCAAACTTCACCAGCATTAAAACTTGCAACTGCAGCCACTGGCTCCCACATTCCCAAACCAAAACTTCACGAGCATCAGAACTTGCAACCCCAAGTCTGGGCTTTGGTCCAAAGCAGGGTCAATACGGACAACCTAAAGAAAAGAGAGAAGACAAGCCTTGCAGTCTCAGCACAGTCTGCAGGCAACTGAGCTAGGCAGTGCTGCACTGATGGAAGCCTGCAAAGGAATTCTTGTGTTGACTCCATGATATCAAAGTGACCCACAAGCACTAAATCCAATGGCGCAGTCCCATCTTGGGCAAGGATGTGCAAATCTTACGCTTCCAAACTTGGAGTCAGAGGAGTGGTAAGTTCTGAAAATATGAGGCAAACCTAAGATGACGGAAAGCGCTTCTTGAAGCGCTGGGAGTTAGTGTGCGAAGTTGTGGGGTGTGGGGGGTGTGGGGGGGGGGGGGGTAACCTCGTTCCGGGAGATTTGCAGGTCTGGTCAGCCGAAAAATACTCCCAAAAAATGGGAGTATTTTTTGGAGCACTTTCTGCCACCGCACGGCTGGTTTTTGGTGTTTTTCCCTGTGTTTTTCGCGCTTTTTCGTCGACGCTGCCTATCATGTCTGACCTTTTCGTCTGTGGCTCTCGCGGGCCAAAAAGCGTGCCAGTTTTACATCATTTTACTTTGCTTCCGGCCTCGCCGGACTTGGGCGCACAAGGGGCGCCGGGGATGCAGGGGATGCAGGGGATGCCGCTTGTTTTGGAAGTTTTTGTGGTGGTCGGCGATGCTGGGGATGTCGCGGGAAAAAATACTCCCATTTTTCGGGAGTATTTTTTGGAGCACTTTCTGCCACCGCAAGGCTGGTTTGCAGGTCCCAGGGAGACGACACGGGGTGTGTAAGTACGGGCGCTGGTTTGGGTTGTTGCTTGTATGTGATTCAGTGCAGGAGGGTTGTGCAGTTGTTGGTTTGCTCTGACTTGGGTCAAGCTGGCAAGGGACAGCAAGGGACAGCAAGGCAAAGCAAGGCAAACCAAGGGAAAGCAAGGGCAAAGGAAGCGAAAGTAGGGGAAAGCAAGCCAGGCAAGGGAAAGCAAGGCAAAGCAAGGGACAGCAATGGACAGCAAGGGAAAGCAAGCAACAGCACGGGCAAAACAAGTCAAAGCAAAGGAAAGCAAGGGACAGCAAGGGAAACACAAAAGAAAGCAAGGGACAGCAAGGCAAAGCAAGCGAAAGCACAGGCAAAGCAAGGCAAAGCAAGGCAAAGCAAGGCAAAGCAAGGGACAGCAAGGGACAGCAAGGGACAGCAAGCAAGGGACTGCAAGGGAAATCAGGGGAAAGCAAGGGAAAGGGAAAGCAATGGAAAGCAAGGCAACGCAAAGGAAAGCAAGGACAAGCAAAGGAAAGCAAAGGACCGCAAGGGACAGCAAGGGAAAGCAAGGGAAACCAAGGGAAAGAAAGGGACAGCAAGGGAAAGCAAGGGAAAGGGAAAGCAAGGACAATCAAAGGGAAGCATGGGAAGGCAAGCAAAAGCAATGGAAAACAAGGGAGAGCAAGGCAAAGCAAGCAAAAGCACGGGCAAAGCAAGGCAAAGCAAAGGAACACAAGGGACAGCAAGGGAAAGGGAAAACAAGGGAAAGCAAAGACAAGCAAAGGAAAGCAAAGACAAGCAAAGCAAAGCAAGGGACAGCAAGGGAAAGCAAGGGAAAACAAGGGAGAGCAAGGCAAAGCAAGCAAAAGCACGGGCAAAGCAAGGGAAAGAAAGGGAAAGGGAAAGCAGGGACAAGCAAACGAAAGCAAGGGACAGCCAGGGAAGGCAAGGGAAAGCAAGGGAAAACAAGGGAGAGCAAGGCAAAGCAAGCAAAAGCACGGGCAAAGCAAGGCAAAGCAAAGGAAGGCAAGGGAAAGCAAGGGAAAGCAAGTGAAAGGGAAAACAAGTGAAAGCAAGGGATAGCAGGGCAAAGAAAGCAAAAGCATGGGCAAAGCAACGCAAAGCAAAGGAACACAAGGGAAAGGAAGGGACAGCAAGGCAAAGCAAGCAAAAGCACGGGCAAAGCAAGGCAAAGCAAGGGAAAGCAAGAGACAGCAAGACAGCAAGGCAAAGCAAGCAAAAGCACGGGCACAGAAAGGCAAAGCAAAGGAAAGCAAGGGACAGCAAGGGAACACAACGGAAAACAAGGGAAAGCAAGGGAAAGCAAGGGACAGCAAGGCAAGGGAAGCAAGGGAAAACAAGGTAAAGCAAGGGGCAGCAAGGCAAAGCAAGCAAAAGCACGGGCAAAGCAAGGGACAGCAAGGGAAAGCAAGGGACAGCAAGGGAAAGCAAGCGAAAACAAGGGAAAACAAGGGAAAGCAAGGGACAGCAAGGCAAAGCAAGCTAAAGCACGGGCAAAGCAAGGCAAAGCAAAGGAAAGCAAGGGACAGCAAGGGAAAGCAAGGAAATGGGAAAGCAACGGAAAGGGAAAGCAAGGGAAAACAAGGGAAAGCCATCGCATGCCGTGGCAGGCGCTTTCCGTTGTTTGCCGGACTGGTTTGCAGATCCTTGCCTAAGATGGAGCTGCGCCATTGGAGGTAGTGCTTGTGGGTCACTTTGCAACATGTGATGGAGTCAAAGAAGTATTCCTTTGCAGGCACCTCGGTGCATGCAGGCTGTGCTGACACTGGGAGGTGACAGGCTCGAACCCTGGAGGTGTCTTTGCAAGGCCTGTTCTTTGCCAGGTTTGTCTTCTCTCTTTTCTTCGCGATCCTGCAGCCCACATTAGTGGCTGCTTGCTCCAAGACTGCTACTTCCAAGTTCACCTCCAAGTTGACACTTCCAGCCGTCCACCTACGTTAACAAGCACCCCTACGATTAAAGAAACTTCATTGGTCTGTGACTGAAACTGCACCACCCCATTAGGCGCGAGTACTAAATCAATTGAAGCTCGTTAAATCCAGGCCCGGAGCTCAAAGATCCTTGCCCAAGCCAAGCCGCCCCCCCCGCCCTAGAATTCTAGATTTGGAACACTAATCCGGGGAAGGGGTGTGTTTGCACGCAACCGTCTGGCTCAAGGCCCCTTTATTGTCACTGTACAGAACAATACACGTAGAGAGAAGGGATTTCTTGCGGACTGCTTACAGGCCGATCAACAGGCGCCCGCCAAGCAGCCGCTATCGTACGACGGACAAGTCAGCTGGCTCAGGTATGAAGAACTCGTCGATGACTGGACAACTTTCACTACCATTGAAGCATTGAAAAGAGGACCCCTCCTTAGAAAGTAGGCTCGCTGGAGATGCATACATGCATGTACAAGGAAGTTTTCGACAATACAGAGCTTCAAGATCCCGAAGAAGGTGTCAACTACTTCAAGAACACTCTGAAGCAGCACTTTTCTCAAGGGCGCAAACAATGTGTACCTGTACAGACCTCTCGGCTTTTTAAACCATCGAAGAACACTCACTTTCACATCCAAGTTCGACATCCTTCTAAAGAGATTGAAGGCAGCCTGGATAGACATGATGCCAACAAACACGGCACAGTCACTAGAGTTTCGATAGCCGCCAGTGCCCGAGTACCGCCTCCAACGCTGCTTGCCGAGGACGATCCAGAGGCTCTGAGACAATTCATCAGAAACATGCAGCGAAGACAGAAGGAAGCATTTCCCTTCGGGGACAATCTCATAGCACAATTATTCATGATCCAGAATGAGTT